AGAGTGTCAGATTAGGATCTGGGGGACCCAGGTTAAAATCCACACTCTGGCATGGAAGCTTGTGGAATGGCCTTGGCGGCCAGCCGCACACTTTCAGCCTCACCTGCCTGACAGGGATGGTTGCTGGATAAAATGGAGGAGAGAAGGGCTGTGCAAGCTGCCTTGGGTCTCCATTGGAGATAAAGGCAGTCTATAAATGAAGTAAATAAGTAAATACATAAGCCCTCTGGCAGGAACAATGCTATGTCAATGTAATGTACAGTGCCTAGGTCACTTGTGCAAAGTAGATGTTAAATGGTATCAGTAGTTGTCATGTAATTTTGTAGTTGAATAGAAGTGCTGTTGCTCCTATCAAAGGGTGATGAGCCAACCTCCTCTGGATGGGACTGCACTCCTTCGAAAGGAGTAGGTTCATAGCCTGGGAGTTTTAATTGGTCTCAGTCTTTAAATGTAGATAGAGATCTGCATCTACATCAGGCTTTGACCATTTCTGCAGCAGTGGGATCCTTCACACTGATGTTTTTAAAACTGTGAAATTTAAAACTGTGAAATTTTCTGCAGTAGATTTTTCCTCACCGGGCACAAAACTGAAGTTTTCTCCTTCTTAACCTGCGTTTTCGAAACTTGTTAAAACTGGGGATTCTGAAAATGCTAGAACTGGGTATTCCGAAAATGCGGGGTAAGGAGAAAACTTCAGGTTTGTGCCTGGTGAGGAAAAATCTACTGTGGAACATGCAGTTTTAAAAACATCAATGCGGGGGATTTCACTACTGCAGAAATTATTGGTTCACCATTTACAGCTCTTCCTCGAGCAGCAAGATTTGACCACAGTTCTCCATATGCTGATCATTATCTTGGTTAGAGTGCTGCAATGTAGTTAATACAGAGCTGCCTTTGAAGATGGCTCAGAAATTGAAAATAGGTGCAAAGCCTGGCAGCCTGATTGTAGACTAGAGTTTTTGGGTTTTTTACAGAATGTCGATCTCTACCATCTTAAGATGGTTGCACTGGCAGTTGATCTGTTTCCAATTCAACGTGCTGTTTTTGACCTTCAAATCCCTGAGTGGGTTGGAATCAGGAAACCGAAGGACTGCTTACAAATTCTTGTCAGTCATCTGAAAATATTGCAGATCCTGCTAGGTGGGCCTGATAGCGAAGCGGGGCTTTTTCTATTCTGGCATGCCAGATGCAGATGATGGACGGCCTTCCCTCAGAAGTGTTTCTAGTGCTGGGCTGATTGTGTTTTCAACACCAGGAGAAGATGTACTTGTTGCTCAGGCATTTTGCTGATTACGTTTTCATTTCATTTTACTATTTAATAATTAACTTTATTTCTTCTTTTCGTTTTCTCAGTGCTGTGGTGTTTTGCGGTCAATGGTGATTTGTTTGTACTAGCTTTACTATATTTGACTTGTTTTACTATTATTTTTATTCTCTCTTTTAGTGCAGCTTCTAAATTGTGACTTTGATAAAATGCTTGATATTTTCTGTTATCAGTCTTTTGATGCTATTGATAGTCACTATGTTAACTGGGTTTTTTATTTATATTTTGTATTTGTTATGTTGTAAGCTTGTGGGCTGAGGGATGGAATGTACAAATTAAATAAAGCTCAAACCTATCACAGCACTGTGACCATAACAGTTGTAATTAGTGATAAAGTGTATGGACTTTTCTTGATGGCTCAAGAATTGTCAGGGTCTATGTTGAAATAACTCCAGCATGTATAAGTGTGTGTGTGTGGGGGGGGTTGGTATAAAATATGGCAGTAATGAACATGGCAGCTTTGTACTGACTAATCATTGAGTGGGAAAATGTGAACAGCCTTATTGGTGGTATGTAGCCCTCTCAGATGGGTCCCAGGGGATCTCTTGTGCTGAGTCACATTGTGTGTCAGTATGTAATATTGTTCAGTTGATTGCATACTTTCTATGCATATACAAAACCTCGCATCCAAGCATCTCTAATTTAAAGGTCAGAAGTGTGTAACATAACGGCTCTGAAACAATGGTTAAATGTACTGCAAAAAAGATGCATGAATTGCCAGCAAACACCATATATCTTGGATTGGTTTGAAAAACAAGAGGGACATAAGGGAAACATTTGGATTCAACCTTTACCCTCTTTTTCTAATTAAAAAAATATATTTTGTAAAATTTATGCCCTACCTTTCTTCTCTCATAAGGGCCACCAATGTGTCTAACAAACTGAAAACATACATAATAAAGTCACTTCTTAAAAACCATTTAAACCAACAAAAAAGATCATCAAAACAATTAAAACTAGATGTAAAGTACATACAAAAACATAAAAACAACAATTAAAACACTGGACAAGAAGGAGAGATCATTGAGGGAATCCCAAATGGAATAAAATAGTCTTCACCCACTGGTGGAAAATGGCAAAGGGAGGGGGCAGACAAGTTTCCCTGGGGAGAGAGTTCCAGAAAGCCCTCTCTTGGGTTTCCACTGATCTAATCTCAAAAGGTGGGGGCACCTGAAGCAGGGCTTCTAGGATGACAATAGTGGCTAGGTTCAGAAGGCAGTAAGCGGTCCTTCAGGTATGCTGAGAACTTTGTATACTGACTGCTACCGTGAGATGAATACCAACAATTACTAACATTTTATTATGATTTTATAATTGTTTTAACCTCAACTTGTTTTTAATGTAATTATTTGTCTTGATGTAAGCTGCCCTGAGCCGGTCCCGGCTGGGAGGGTGGGATAAAAATCTGAATACTAAATAAATAAATAAATCCCAGACCATATAGGTAGTGTTGCCAACCTCCAGATGGTGGCTGGAGATCTCCTAGGATTACAACTGATCTCCAGGTGACAGAGATCCTGATGGCCGGTGTCCTCCAAGCAGGCACACAGATGCAGTTTTTAGGCATCAGAGCTTGTAGAGCAATTCCAGGGCTGGGCGTCAAAATACAGTTCCCAGGTTCAGGCATGAGGTAGACAACACTCACAGCTACAAATCTGGAGGGCAATCCAAGAATACAAAGGTACAGGTCAGCGTCAGAGACAAAGAGGACAATTCAGAACAGAGGCAACAAGGCCAGTAGCTATTTGCTGCCTCAGTCCTGCTCCTGCAAGCACTCATTCTCAGTGTAGGTGCTGGGTCCATGCTGGGCTGCCAGGCTAGCACTATACCTTCTGTCTTGAATGTCTTTGTTAAGTATGGAACTCAACGCCGTCTTATAAGTAAAACAGTGAATCAGCTTTATTAAAGTAACAGGAACAATCAGAAAACATACACACAAACAGTGGAGCAAAAGCTCCCTTTTAAACTATCCCGGGCTGGTGTAGCCATGCCCTAGAACAGTTAAGGACCAATGATATTACAAGGATAACAACCAATCAGATTCGTTCCCTCCTGAACATCGTTCTGCATTCTGATTGGGTACTTATATACAACAGCCAATAGAATTGTGACAGCTTACAATCCTACTGTGGTCTCAAGCTTAACATGGCTTTTAATACAGTTAAAGACATAACAGTCTTTCCTCATCTTCCTCTTATGGTGTTCCCAAGGCTCTGGTGATGGGGTGGGGTGGTAACCAGGGGTCATTTGGGGGGGACGCGGGGGGACGCCATCCCCCCGGGTGAGGTGCGGGAGGGCGGGGCCTGGAGCTCCCTGCTGGTGCCTGCTGGAGGTCGCCACCGGCTGTGGGGAGGACACACTTCCGGTGATGTCAGGGGGTGTGGCATATGCTAATGAGTTATGCTAATGAGTCCCCCTAGCTCTTTTTCTACGAAATGACCCCTGGTGGTAACTGACTGGCAACTGGCTCTCTGTTGCCAGCTCAGGGGTGGGGGGCTGAGAGGCCAGTGCACTGGTTCCTAGCTGAGGACCTATGTCTGGCCCCTAAGAGACTGCCTCCTCCTGCAGTGCCTCTGCCTCTGGCTGTGGGTTGGGGTCAGGTCCGCTGGGTGCCTCTTCCCTCAGAGGAGTCGTCCGCATCCCTTTGCTCTGCTGGGCTTCACTGGTCCATGATGTCAGTTTCCCCAGAGAAAATGGCTGCTTTGGAAGCCCCTCCCCAAACCCCACCTTCCTTAGGCTTCTTCTCCCAAATCTTCAGGTATTTCCCAACTGTTGGATCCCAAGCATTCTAAGCGAAGCTTTCCTCCTACAACCAGCTGCACGACCTTGGCGAGTTCCGCGGACTACATAATATAACTCAAGCAAACAAGGAATGAGAGGGGGGGCGAAGGATACTAGACAGGAACCGGAATGACAATGGCAGCTAGCTGACGCCAACCTGGAACTGGCAACCCTACATATAGGGCTTTAAAGATCAGCACCATCACCTCAAATTATGCACAAGAACAGACTGCAAGCCTGTGTAGATGGGCCAGGACTGAAGTGATATGGTCCCCACAGCGCACTCCGGTCAACATCCTGGCTGTAGCATTCTGCACCAACTGAAATTTCTGAACATTTTCCAAGGGCAGTCCCACATACAGCTCATTGCAGCTAGCTAGAAATCTAATTTAGATGTAACCAAGGCATGTCTCACAGTGGCCAGATCTTTTCTGGCCATGAAAGCTTGCAGCTGGCTAACCAGCTGAAGCTGGTAAAAAGCACACCTGGCCACCACTACTACTTGCTTATCCAGCAGAAGGGTCCAAGAGCACCCCCAGACTATGGAACTGATTCTTCAAGAGGAATGACACCTTTAGCAGGTCACAACCCCTCCTCAAAAGGTATAAAGAACATGGATTTTTCTTTATAAGTATATGTGCTTGGATTGTATACTTTAAAGTATAGAACTGAACTACTGCAGATTTGAAGAGTAATTTTCACTCTCTTTCTAAGTAAAATTTTTCATGTACTTGTAAAGCAAATGAAGAAACCGTTAACAAAAGGTATAATAAGTCCAAAAGATAATGGATCAGGATTCAGATGTGGAAAACAATTTTTATAACTGTTCTAGGATGCAGTACACTCATTCTACCACACAGTGTCACAATTGGATTCTGCGTTTTTCTATTTTCAGACGAGGGTGTTTACAAGGCTGGGAAAAAACCGTCTGAAATGCGTGGGGCTGTGGAAGTCCAGGAAGATGAAGACACTCAGATTGAGGTCCCAATTGATCAGGTAATGTACAGTCTCTGAATAAAGGACTAATGTTGGAAATAAACCACACCCTGACCTTCACTTCCTTCAGGGGACACTTTGGATGTCTACAAGTTTGAAGTATGGGGGCTGCAGAAGCCCAGGAAAATGAATACGCTCCAACAGAAGTTCCCCCCTGGTATAATGTAGCAACTCGTGTATTGCACACATCATGGGTGGAAAGAGAGAACTGGTATTTGATAACTATAGCCCAGGGGAATGGTTTCTTGATGGTGACATTACAGAAGGACATCATCATTTGTCCTATCTTGCTGATTTGTTTATTTCTTAAATAACCTGTCCTGGCTTCATCTGTGTAATCATCAGTTGATGAGTTTATCGTTGTATTTTCTTGTACTTGTAAGATATCAAGCCTTCTGGCAGATGCCATTCTGGCAGCTTTAAATTAGGTAACTAGGGGTTGTGTAATGTTAGTGGGGTTTTTTTTGCAGTGAGCTTATTTCATATGAAAGGTGCCAAACAGACACCTCTAGGGGCTGATAAGAGGCAGCAGCAGCTTTGCAACTCTTTGCATGAAGACTGAGTTTTGCCATTGGAGCACAACTCAGACCGGAGAAGTTTTCTTCAAACTTAATGAAAGATACATCATTTTCTAATTCCCTGTTCAGGTAAGAGTAAATCAGTCTCCACTGCGAGTGCCAGGAAACTTGATTCGCAGTGTGAATATATCAAACCATTGCTATCTATTCATGGAGGCCAGTTATCAGGCAGAGACAGCAACCAGTACTGGCTGGAAATACTACCTTCGTTAATAAACACAGATGGTGCACCAGAGACTTTTCTGTGTGATACTTCAGCTAGCTAGCTAGAAAGAACAAAACCCTCTCATTGAGAAGCTCCAGTTTTGTACCAGAGGGTCTTCCTGTATGGTGCAGGAATGCAAATCCTTAATCTGGTGGGAGTAGAGAATGTTATTTACCATTTGGAGGGTTGGTTAACACTTCTGTATAAATATATATGATACCACCTGAGTACTGTGAGTCAGAACCCCAATCCATTCACTTGCTATTGTCTTCTCTGACTTGCTGTGACTCACCAGCATCTCAAACACACACTCCCAGTGAACTAGAGATGCTGGGAGGTGAACCCAGGGCCTTCTGCGTGCAAAGCATGTGATCTTTCATGCCATTTGCATCTGTATTAGGAGGGGAAGTGAGGGGGCTGGGTGCATGGCTGATCGTGGCTTGCTTCTGTGGATGGAGAAGCATTTGACCTGCCTTTAGGCCAGTGTACATGTGGTGTTGCCATGGCACTGGGTCTTCAGAAGAGGGTGAACTGGAGGGAAAACAGCTTTATTCCACCCCTGGCCTCAACATCGGAGGTGTGTTCTATCGCCAGTGTCAGTCATGATGGTCTAGATTTTCATAGTTTCATAGGGAAAATCTTGAAAACATTTGACATTGTACGGTAGAAAGATTTGCAGTGTAAGAGGGCTGGTGAAAGCATTTCAACCGGCCACTCTCCAAAACATGCTAGTTTGTGATTAAGGGTTTTACCTTTTGTAGCAATGGGATCGGAAGTGAAATAAAGTTTCTCATGTGTGTAGCTCCCTGTGATGATAACTCATCATAATTAATAAAATAACCAGACCTTTAATTAACTTGCTGGTATATGCATCTGCTTAGCAGTTGCCAATATACTCCTAACCTAAGACAGCTGCTTCTGCTGGCAAAATTACTTGGACTTGCATGAATTCTGGTTTGCATCAGAACTCCCGTCTCTAGTTCCAGCTCCTGCCAACCTAGCAGTTCGAAAGCAAGAAATTGCAAGTAGATAAATAGGTATCACTTCAGTGGGAAGGTAACAGCCAGGGCTATTTTTGGGCAGGAACGCACAGGAACGGAGTTCCGGCTGGCTTCAGAGTTGGCCACACCCACTACAGCCAAAACCTCTGTGTGTGTGGCTACAGAGGGAAGGCCTGGAGAGCGACACACACACACCCGCGACTCCGAGCTGGACAGGCCAAGGGGGGCCCTGGAAGGATCAGGGAGGCATTGAAATGCTTCCCCGTGCTTTCCTTGGCCTGTCCAAGGGCTGGCTTGCCCGGGCTCCCTGCAGCTACAGGGCGCTCAAGCAAGCCAGGGAAGGCAGTTTAAACTGCCTTCCCTCCAAGGGCTGGATATGCTAATGCTAATGAGTTTCTAATATGCTAATGAGTTTCTGCTGTTGGGTGTGGCCTATTATGCTAATGAGTTCCTGCTGGGCTTTTTCTACAAAAAAAGCCCTGGCAACAGCGTTCCGTGCGCCTTGGTGTTTAGTCATGCCGGCCACATCACCATGGAAATGTCTTCGGACAGCGCTGGCTCTTCGGCTTTGAAACGGAGATGAGCACCGCAACCCTAGAGTCGGATTCGACTGGCTTTCGAGCAAGGGAACCTTTACCTTTACCTTTTACTTTTCCAGTTCTAAGAAATACCACTTGGTTTAAATCCATTCATTTTAGGTAAGTAATTCTTATCTCTGGATCCTTGTGCACATAGAGAGAATTCATGTTTAATGCCTGTTAATGGCTTTTCTATCAACCTGTGTTTAGCAGGATTCAAGGCTCCTAATTTAAATTGGCAATTAGATGAGGAATATTCACTCTCAACAGGCTCTACTTAGAAAGGGGACCAAGCATATAAAGTACTTTCCAAAGAATTGCTTGAGATCCTCCATAGTAACTAATTGATACAGAATGAACTAATCAATAGACTTGTATTCTAGCCATTTTGTGACAGTATCTAGACAAAAAGAAAGGAGGCTGTTGCATGGAGATCAGTGGGCTGTCTTGACTGGTCAAGTGAAGCCAGTCCCTGCCCTTCCACTTCAGAATAAGTACAAAGATGCAGAACAGAAAGTTGATGGTTGATTAGGGTTCCCACTCTCTAGGTAGGTCCTGGAGATCTTCCGGAAATATAACTGATCTCCAGACGACGGAGATCAATTCCCCTAGAGAAAATGGCTGCTTTGGAGAGTAGACTCTATAGTATTATACCCCGCTGAGGGCCCTTCCATCCACAAACCCTGCCCTCCCCAGCGCCACCCACAAATCTCCAAGAATTTCACGGCCCAGAGTTGGCAACTTTTATGGCCAATGATTCCATGCAGTGATCCGAAATGTTGTTTAATCCAGGCTAGCTCTAGGTTGGTTGATTCCTTTCATAGTCTGGTAACATAAAATAGTTATAAATCACATCACTGTAAACTGTGATAGCTCAATTCCTATTTAAATCTTATTTATTGATTTATTTGGTACTCTGTTATTACTGCTTATGAAAATAAAACATCCTGCAATCAAAATAATTATACAGTAAGCAAGGGGACAGCATTAAACTGTAAAGTGTTGCAGTTATATATATATAAACATCCTTGTACTCAAAAACTATAATGCTTTTATGTGAAAAAAATTCAATGCAGAGGTAGTCATTTCATCCTTTTTAAGTGCCGAGGTTTCATAAACAATATGACAGGAAGGTGGTCCATTGTCACTTAGCAACCTGGTTTGAGAACAAAATGTTTTTTGAGAACAAAATGTTTCCTTTTTTGTTTTGGAATACAGTCAGGATATATGAAGCATTATTTACTGGGAAATCATGGCTGTATTTAAGAGCTTCTCATTTCTTCAGAGCTAAGTGGTCTGAAGCTGTTGTTTGTGCCTATTGAGATTTTGTTGCCTTCCTTCTTTTGCTTGTTATGAGCAATGATACGCCATATTCTCAGTAAATGCCTCCTACTCCTAGCAGAAAGAGATAACATTGTAGTTACTAGGGTTGTCAACCTTCAAGTGGTGGCTGGAGATCTCTTGGAATTATAACTGGTCTCCCAAGTACAGAGATCAGTTCCCCTGGAGAAAATGGCTGCTTTAGGAGGGTGGAGTCTATGGCATTATACCCGCTGAGGGCCCTTCCTTCCCCAAACCCTGCCCTCCCCAGGCTCTACCCAAAAAATATCCAGGGATTTCCTAACCCAGATGTGGCAACCCTGATTTTAAAATAATAGGTTTTCTGCTTTTACACCTGAGTAATTTTCCAAGTGTAAATTTTACCTGCCCAGTGTAATACCTGCAGGGATGATGTGAAGTGTTTCTGAAAGCATGAGCATGGGCTACATAAGTTTCCATGCTGGAATGGTTCTTATCATCCAACCCTGAAGGGGGAAAAAAAAGACTAGGTGGGCAGTCAAACTGTTAGTTTTAGATGGTCAAAACAAGATCAGCTACATGTTTCTGCGAAGTTCACAAGCAGGGATGAAGGCAACAACCATCTCCTGTTTTTGGCATCTTGTGAACAGAGGGTTAGTCCTGACAAGATGGAAGTGCTACTGGTGAACAGAAGGTCTGACCATGGACTGAAAAGATCACCCATTCTGGATGGAGTTGCACTCCCTTTGAAAGTGTTAATCCTGTCCCTTTAAGTAATAAGCCTCTGTTCCTATGAGTTCCTTATCATCCTGGTGGGACTCCAAAGAGTTACTGATACAAATTAAGTGGTTTATTGGACGACACTACTGCATAATACATTACAAAAACATATTGCAAACTTAATCAGATATATGAGACATGGGCCCTGGTCACACTGGGGGAAAAGGTATGGCTGAAGTGCGGCTTTTTTGAGCCGCATCAAAAGAGAAGTGTGGTGGTGGGATCAGACAGATCCCCGAGCCGCTGCGCAGTTGCTCCCCGGCATGATCAGATGCCGGGGGGAAGCCACAGATTGGTGAGCGAGGCAGCCCGCTGTGCATGTGCGCACCTGCGCAGTTTGGCCGGGGGCCTCGCATGCTACCGGAGACGGGCGCGCTGGCGATCACACGGCCGCCCCTGCTGCGGATTTTCAGGTAAGTAGTAGTGTTTTGTAGGGGTTTTTTTGACCCGCACCTTCAGCCGGAAGAGACAGATCGAGGACAGGTGCACTCCGCTTCCCAGATGTTGCGGTGTGATTGCTATTGATGCGCCCCCGATCCGTCCCTCTCGTGGATCAAAGCCTCCCGTGTGACCGGGGCCATGAATATATATGAAAAGGCATGGATAAACCACTAGGCATTATAAAAACACACGAAACAAAAGGTTGCAAACATAATAGTAAGTTTAATGCATGTTAGCTGATCTAAGCCTAATTGTTAAACCATTAATTGCCAACCTACTACCCTTCTGCCCTTCTAGTCGTAGCTCAGTTTCCTAGCAAACAAGCAAGCTGATGCAATTTCATAGCCACCTATCCAAGGTTCTTGGAAGATTGAAGAGGCAGGAACCTCATAGGCTTGTTTTAATAATGTGTTTCTGTTCGCTTGGTGGCCTTCATGAGGGCAGAAATGTAGGGCATCCATTTTATAAATTAAGATGTAAATGTAAAGATGGAGGTCTTATCTATCTCGGCAAGTAGCCTTTAGTAGTCCTTGGACACATCCAAAGCCCCCATGGAGACACATAGTTCTCCAGTTATACCATGCTTTGGGTCCTGATGCCTGTATGTAATGCCAGATAGAGAACAGAACACAAAGGTTCAGCTCAGGCATATGATCTGAGGAAAATATGAAGGAAGGAAGGTTCAGAATAATCAAGCAGCAAAACCAAGTGACCCTATTGTTGCCAGGTCTGGGTTGGAAAATACCTGGAGACTTTGGGGGTAGATCCGGGAGAGGGCAGGGTTTGGGGAGGGGAGGGTCCTCCACATGGTACAGTGCCATAGAGTCCGCCCTTCAAAGCAGCCATTTTCTCCAGGGGAGCTGCTCTCTGCCAGCTGGGAATCAGTTGTAAAAGCGGGAGACCTCCAGGCCCCACCTGGAGGCTGGCAACCCTAAGTGACCCAGATATATGTTTGGGGCTTCTACATACTAATGGGGGGGGGATTGCCCAAGTGTGCAGAAAAATATGGTTTTTAAATTAATCAAAGAATGTTGCCATTCCAACAGCCTGAGTAGAACTAAGTATAGGTGTGGAATAGGGTTACCAGGTTGACTTACCTGGCCAGCGGGGGTCTCCAGATGTCCTTACGGGAGACCAGAAGTGATGTTGGGCATTTTTGGGCCTACTTCTGGTTTCGGACCTACTTCCAGTTGGGGGTGATACTCTATGTTAGATCGCCGCTAACAAAGATCCGGAGAGCGATTTCAGCAAAGTGAAACAGCTTTATTGAAGGTACGAACAAGCGCTTAAAAGCATTCATAACCAGAACAGATTTACATTGGGAACTAGGCTCCTTTTAAACATTCCCGGGCTAATATAGCCACGCCTATTTACAGATAACAACCAATGGGGTTGTTCGGATAAGGACCAATAAGAGTTCTTCCCGCTCGGGGAATTAGTCCTTCTCAGATTGGTCGCTTGTTGTAGAGCGACCAGTAGCGTTTGAGTGTGGAGGAGCCTTCGTCTGGCTCAAGCTTAACATAGGAGGCGAATGAGGCGATTCATGTAAGCCATTCCAATACATTACACTCTGGTTTTTGGGCAAAACTCTATGGTAAATTCAGCTTCAAACCATAGAGTTTTGCCCCCAAAGCAGAGCATCACCTGCAACCGGAAGTAGGCCAGAAACCAGAAGTAGGCCTGTGATGTCTGGACATGAGAAATCTTCCACTCCAGCTTAACTGCTGCTGGAGGCATGCCTGGACTAGTCTGGCAGACCACCTAGAGGAAACATGGAAAGAGGCAAGTCTGGGCTTGTCCGGGCAGTCCATCTAGCTGGATCTTGAAGCCCCAGAACAAAGGCAGGCAGGTTGCACTGGCAGTTGATCTGTTTCCTGCAGATTGGCCCCTGAGGACAACCAGCCAATCTGGAGCCTGGAGGCCATTTGAACTCACCAATTGCATGGGGTCTGGGAGTGGTTTAGGTATATATAGTTAGGGCAGTTGCCCCATGTAAAGCATTCCTGTTGAGATGCAATAAACTGCTGCTGCTGAAATCACTATGCGTTCACCTCTGCCGTGTTAAAGGTTCCCTTGCTCGAAAGCCTGTCAAATCCGACTCTAGGGTTGCAGTGCTCATCTCCGTTTCAAAGCCGAAGAGCCAGCGCTGTCCGAATACATTTCTGTGGTCATGTGGCCGGCATGACTAAACACCAAGGCGCATGGAACGCTGTTACCTTCTCACTAAAGTGGTACCTATTTATCTACTTGCAATTTCTTGCTTTCAAACTGCTAGGTTGGCAGGAGCTGGAACTAGAGACGGGAGCTCACTCCGTCATGCGGTACACTCGGGTCTCGAACTGCTGAACTACCGACCTTCCATAGCCTGCAGTTCAGCGTCTTAACCACTTGAGCCACTGCAGCTCCTCAACACCACAGCAGCCGTGTTAAACCCACTATTTAATAAGGCCCGAAACTGGATGTAGGCCTGAAAAGGTCAGTTGGGGGTGAGATTTCCCCCTGCTGACCAGCTGGCCAGCGGTGGGCAAGATCCTCCGAAAGCGGGGGTTCCCACTTTCCAACTCATTTCCAACTCATTTATTTCCTCCCACTGTGATTCTGTTTGTTTCCTCTGTTACCAGGTAAGGCAGGGCTTTCTGTATAATCAGGGGACTCCCTTTGCAGAGAAATATTTGTTTATAAATATTGAAAAATATCCCCCAAATGGCTTGATGAATATGTAGCATGTTTATTGTACTTTGAATGTTGAGAGCAACTGAGTGCCAGTTAAAGTGTTTGTATATGGGGATGGGGGTGGCGGCCTACTCAAGCCCCTGGAGGTGATAGTGTCTTGGAGGGAGAGAGATAACTGGGATGCAAATTTCCAAATGGTTTATCTCCTTTCCTCTATGCTATTCTTCTTCCCCTTGATAGCAGACATCACAGGTTGTCTGCCACAAAAGACACATTCATACTTGGGGTGCACAACTGTATTTGTAAACTGAAACAAGAATACCCCTTCCTGATAAAGACTAAGCATGTTCATTGTCCACGAAATAATTTAGATGCTGTTAAGTAGAGGTAGGGAGAAACAGGGAGAAAGGGAAAATGGTATGCTCAAGTCTCTGACAGTTGATAGTATCCTGGAGGAGAAAACTCGATTTAGAAGAGAAGAATATCCTAGTGATTTATTCTGCTCCTCCCTGTTAGTCTTCATAGGGTTCCAGCTTCTTTAATTAAAAATACCTAGGTATGCACTATTAATTTAGCTGATCAAAATAACTATAATTCAACCTAGAATATTTTAATAAAAACAGCTGAGCACGGTGCAGTGTTATGTTTGCTTTCCCCCCCAGCGGCCAGCAGAAACGGTGGATGAGGAAGAAAATGTAGCTCGGCACAATGAAGAATATTCAGCAATGAATGGCGAGGCTGATCCAGGTGAAGAAACTGGTGAGACCATCAATGAAATGGAAAAAAACAAAGAGAAAATGGATGACCATTCTGAAAATGAACAGCCAGAGCTTGATGAAGAAGGGGAGGGTGAGACTAGTCATGCACGGGGTGGAACAAATGAAGAAAATGGTGAGGAAATGGATCATAATGGCCATGAAGAAGAAACAAAAGAAAGTGCTGATGATCCAACCCAGGTAATATACTTTCTTATTATCCAAAAGATTCCATTTGTCCCTTCCTTTTATGATATGGCTCTTTTGTCCACAGCCTTCAGCCTGAACCTAAAGATTCCATTTGTCCATTCTAGCAGTAGGTCTGTTTGTAGCCAGCATACTCCATCCACGGAATTTCAGCTTCAAGCCTGCCTTTGTTGAACATGCAGTTGTACATTCCCTTTGTTCTGTCTCAGTTTCTGTTTCTAAGTCCCATCCTGGGCGGAGCAGCAGTGTCCTTTTTACACTTCCTGTAATCTCATTTGTATGTGGGCAAGATATATTTCCTTCTCTTGGATGACGCCAGGGATGATGCTCTCACATGCAGCACTGACTGCTGTGTGAGAGTGTTAAGGCAATTTGGTGTGCCATTTGATAACCTTGCAGAACCTCATTTCCAGAGAGTAATCGGTTCATGTCTCCTGCCAGGCTAAGCACACTATCACCCTTGTTGTTCGAAGAAAACAAATTATGCCTGGGTGAAGCTCTCCTTTTTTGTACAAACTGGCTCAAGATGCTGACTTGTTAATTCTTATCTGTTTCTTTATTAAAGACTGCATGTTTTTCATGTGTAGGAGGAAAAATTGCTTACCCCTCATATAATGGGCTAGTTGTTTTATCACACTTTTTGACCTGCCACTGTCTACATAGACTACCCACCAAGAATAATGGGGCCCAAACTATATGAGACACGGGAGATCCATTTATCAAACCTTTTGAGTTTCTATTTTTTCTTTAAAACTGATGCTGGATTGGATCAGTGGTGCTGGACATGTATATTAACACTTCCTCCCATGCATGTGAAGTTATACTTTCTCAATATACATTGCTGTGACCAGATTGCTATTAACACTGTAAACATTTGTTCTTCTGCAGGACTGATGGTGAATTTGCAAGATATTTAGATCGGGGGGGGGGAATCTGGCAGGCAGACAGACAGGAGAGGCAACACGGGCAGTCTAACCACAGCAGTCTCATGCTGCTGCATCTCACTCAGCACAGTCAGCCACAATGGACCACCCAAGACCCATCAAGGCTTTGAATGCCAGCCAGGATGGGACTTAGAAACAGAAACGAAGGCAAAAACAAGGGAATACACAACTGCACATTCAGCAGAGGCAATCCTGTCACCCTAATAGCTCACTGGGGAAAGGCATCCATGTGGCAAATCGGAAGCAAGAGTTTGATTCTCAGTAATGAGGAAGGCATAGCTCATTATTTTTGCCCCGCAACAGGCCAAGCAGCAGCAAAACAGGAGGCAGAGGCCAGACCAAGAACCCATGCCTCCCACATTCAGAAGCAGTTTTCTAACCACTTACCCCTAACTGGGCACACATGAATGCCACTCAGCATCTTCTAGCAGCCCTGCTGTCATCACCAATGATGTGGGGCAGGGCAGGTAAGACAGCGGAGATGGGTGTAGTATGGCAGAGAGATAGTATACCCACGGCCCTTGGTTAGATTCCCAACAGTCCAGCTGGACTCCTGAGTGCAGCTGATTGCCCCATCAAACATCATTGTGAGGGATGGGTTGCTCATGCTTAATGGTGTCCCACATTCCATTTATTTTGGCTGGGGAGCCCACATGCACAATCTCTCTCCTGCATTTGTGGGGCTTATAACTATCGTTTACTTCCATTCACCTCAATGACCTTTGTGTGCCATCTATCCCCATTTATCCCCCCCTTATGTACGCTGAGTGGCTTGTCAGATTCCAGCAGTGATGTGGGGGAGTGTGCAACCAAGACATCCTCCCTCCCTTGCAAGAGTATAATTGTGCTCCCATTGTAACCTGCCCAAGCCAATTCCCAGTGAGAGCATCTAGCCAAAGACAGCTTAGGGCCAAACTAGACGTGACATTTGCCACCCTGGCCCAACTAACAGACAGATGTTACCTTGGGAAACTAAAATTCTCAAGTGCTCTGGGGGCCTTCCATTGGGTTGTTAACCTGCAAAGCAATAGGCATCGTGGGTGCTTGACCAACAGTAGTGCAGATCAGAGCATGGTGGTTGGGAGTCACCGTAGGCTGTATTTGTTCTTCCTGCATCTTCCACCTACTGGAGAGGTGGAGGGGACACCAGTATGGCATTGCGCTGACCATATCTGCTTGGCTTTGCCTTCAGCACTGTACACACTAATTGCTAGAAGTTATTGTGGGAGTCAGGATTCTTGTTGAGACAATACAGAGAGTATAAGTGGTGGCCAGGGAGTGATGGTTGCTGTAGCTCCAGGTAAGGCTGTGGCGGTGACATGACTTGGTGAGTGAACTCAGAAGGCATTTAAAGAGATCATGGTCTCCTTAGATGACTTCTAGTCATGCCTGAATAAAAGCTGAATAATATTGGTATTCAGGCGTGGCTATTTCGGTAGCTGAATCAGATTGTCTAATCTGTATTCAGTTGAAGAAATACCTGGAAAATACCAATAGAGTATTTTTCAGGTATTTATTTGGCTTGGTATATACTGAGCACATACCCCTAGTTCCAGGTGTGGTCTCTCCCTTGCATACAGACCCACAGAGGGAGCATGGTCTCCTGTTTGGTGTCTGGACCCTGAGATGAAGTACCTGTAACAGTTCTGAACAAAGTAATGTCAGGCACAAAGTAATGTCATGTAAACCCAATAACATTTGTTCTCTCTCTTGGCTGTTTGCGCTAAATTGTTATGTTATTTATTTGTTTCATTAATATCCCATCTTTCTCCCCAATGGGGACTTAAAAAGCACCATTCTCATCTTCTCCATTTTTTCCTCACAACAATCCTATGAAGTAAGTTAGGCTGGGACTGTGTAACTGGCCCAAGGCCACCCAACAAGCTTCCATGGAAGAGTGGGATGTTGAAACTGCGTCTCCAGGATCTTAGTCTAGTACTTTAACCACTATACAACACTGCATCTCTGTGGTTGCTAGGTGCAGTTCCTCCCACCAGAGTGCAAGGCTTCATGTTTTAAGTGTGCATGGCATGGGCCAGAGAGATATGACGCCACATTATGCACCTTATCATGTGATATTACAGGCTGTTCAGGCAGGGCCAGCCAATCTACCAGTCATGTTTCATAACCCGTAAGATATTACACAAACCTTTCAGTTTTGCAATCCTAGACAGGCAACAATAAGTGGTTTCGAGCTCCATCATAAGCACTGGATTCCAGGATAGAGACTAAGCATATCTCAGAGATACAGTGGTGTATCAGAAGCTACAATGGCATATCTAGATATATGCTGGAGAGAAGCCCTGCTGGCATCATGCCAGTGCTGCACTATGCTACACTGGTATAACAACTACACTGGCATAGAACTGGGTGGTGTCAAGAAGCATGGCATGGGCAGAGCAGGACTTAGTTAGCTAAGCTTCCTAATGCCCCCATCAGCCTCAGATATGCCCCCAATGCTGGCACAATGTTATGCCACCAAAAACGTTGATGTAGCTCAGATCAGTCTCCTAGGGGCTACTCTGAAGTATTTAGGATGCTGATCAAGTCAGTAGTCAATCTTATCCCTCCACCACAGATAACCACAGTCCCTTCCCCTGCACTATCACAAGCTGTTCAGGCAGGGCCAGCCAATCCACTAGGTGCACCTGGGCAATCGCCTGGAGTGTCAAAAGTGCAGGATGCCAACCACCCTGTCACTGCCCTGCCCACCTGCAGTGTTGGGGTCTGCCCAGGAGGGCAGCCTGCAGGGAGCCTGCTCCAACCCTTCCTCTGTTGGGGGTGGGCCCTCTTCCTCCTTCCCTCCATTGCAGTTTCTGGGGAGGAGGAGGAGGAACAGTGGTTTCCTGCCCTGCCATGTAGTGGGTGGTGAGGAGGGTGGCTTCCTTTTGCCTCAAAACAGTGGGAGGGGGAGAGCAGGAGGATAAGCAGTGTCTTTCTCACAGTCCACAGGAGGCAACAAAGTTATGTGCTGCCAAGGGTGCCAAAAATCTTGGGCCAGCCCTGTATTGAGGACTAGTTTATCATAAAAGAATAATAATAATGATAAAAATAATTTTAAAAACAATAAAATATGTTTGCTTTTTCTTTAGGGTGATGCTCAGAAAGCTTCAACTCCAAGAGTAACCATCACCAGTCCTCAGGAGAGCGAAAAAAATGAACAAACGAATGACTATGCAGCAGTAGCGTAAATATATTTTAAAGGACATAGAGGAGTAGATAATGAAGGATTCGGAATGCAAGGCATCTTTTTCTGTACTCAGTTAATTTATAATGTGACAATATGATGGAGCTTCACCCATTCAAACCTGAAGTGATAATGTGGTATCCAGTACTTAGATAAATAAATGAAGAGGAAGATTAGGAGGAAGATAAAATTATAATTCCAAAATTTGGTTTCCTTCCCATCTGAATTTTAAGGCAAATTACAGTTTTTTAAAAATAAATTGAAGAATGTTGAACTAGTTTACATTTATAATGATAATAGATATGGTTAGAATGAAAGCAATATGTTTAGAAATGTTTTTTAAAAATGTTTTTGTGATTTTAAATGGAGAACCTGTATTTTTTTTAAAAAAAAATAGTGGAATAAACATGAACTGTAGGATTTAATTTAAAATTGAAAGCCGTATTTTCACTTTCTGGTATGGAGGCTGGGATAGAAAATTCTTAGCAGCCCAGAAATATTCATTGATCCAGAGCCTTGAGTGACTTCTGGGGCTCCTGCATGCATGTACTGTTCTGCTTATTGAAAATATTGTACATACAGATATGCACCCTCTGTTTAATGACGAAGCCATTAAATCTGTCTGAGTACCGTGTGGTAATTAGAGCTCCCATGTCTGAAGAAAATGACTGGATTGGGAGGACAGAATGTGGCCACAAGATGAAGTACTTCCACTTTACAAATAGGTGTGCAACACTCAGTACACATTAATAGCTCCATTTAGGGTTTCCAGGTCCCACCTGGCCATTAGCAGGGAGTGGTGGCCTGTAGGGTTGCCAGCTCCAGGTTGGGAAATTTCTGGAGATTTGGGGGTGGAGCCAAGGGAGGACAGGGGTACAATGCCATAGAGTCCACCCTCCAAACCGTCCATTTTCTCCTGGGGAACTGGTCTCTGTAGTCTGGAGATGAGCTGTAATTCCAAGGGATCCTCAGGTCCCACCTGGAGGCTGGTAACCCTAGCTCCATCCTATATTTTTCTATTTGGAAATAATCCACTGAATTCAGTGGATCTATTCTCCAAGTAAAATGTATTTAAGACTACATGCCCAATGTGTTTAGCATAGTTCGCTGTTTGTTCTGTGCAGGCCAGACCTACTAAAGTTAAATGAACCTTCTGGAAGGAAGCCACAAGGAACGAAACTGAATAATCAACTGCCTTTGAGGCCAAGGGTTTCACTTTTTAAATATAAGATACCTATCCAGCCAGTCACAATGTTGTGGTGTAATAATACTGATGTTTACTTCAGCTTGCAAATGTGTTCTCATTGGCTTAACCTTCAGCTCATGAGGAGCACGAATATTACATATTGGATCAGCTATATCTGATGTAAATAGACATAAGTTTCATGGCTGACTGACTTTTGAAAAAGATGGCTTGCGGTTGTCAGGAAAGCACTCACAGAGGTCCTTGGAGTGTTTATATGAAGAGTACTGCTCTTACAATTTTTCTTTTGTTTTAGCTAGTGTTTTTTTTTAGTAAGCTGATTTCTCATTTTGAGGTTTGTCGTTTCTGATAAATAGTTCGATGATCTTTACTATTGTTCAGCTTGGCAACATTAATTTCTTCATTCTGGTATATTTTAGCTTGAATAAAACTTAGTTTATTTTAGACTTTGTGTGGTTAAAACTGTTATCAAAGACTATTTAGTTTCATAGAAGGCAGTGTCTAGAACCCAACTGTGTTACAGTTTCCGAGCAACTGATACAAAAGTGATAACCAAGGAAATGTTTGTTACAGTATCAGCAGGATCAATGTCTTGCTAAGACCTGATGCAACTCTTAGTGAATTATAAAATAAGCCTGTTCACACCAAATCACTGGACTCTCATACTGCAAATACCAAATCTGAATGCTTTTAAAAACATATCACAGTGTTTAAATATTGTCTTATGGCCTTTGGGCTGGCCAAGGTATGGTACTAATTTAGCAGCTTTTGATGAAAGTCTGTGAGTTGGGTTCCTGGTGTGCTTAAATATCTTTCAGCTTAATACTGATGTGCTTGTCTTCTTGGTCAAGTTTTAGAACCCAAATTAGTATTTGAAGGAAAGTTCGTAAATGCATGTTCAAAGGTCAGATGAAGTCATTCATGATTAGCATTTGTGAAATAGCCATGAAGCATCAGGCACACTAAAGAATATCTTGATGTAATTTCATTTCATTTCAAATATAAAACTTTTCAGAGAAAGAGTCCACACATTCAAGTGTACCTCATCAATTAACATGTTTTTAGGACTGTATAGGTTACAGCAAATATTCACATGGAAGAGAACAGAAAACTAATACAAAATGCAAAGAATCAGGCTAGAACTTTTCTCTAATCTGCTAGTTTTTAAAAAATATGTATAGGAGAACATTAAAATGTGACTCACCCTGCCTACAGTCTGAAGTGATACAGCCCATTCTACCACCTCAGTAGTCTGTCATGTCATTCTTTGCATGTGTAGACCAGGCCTTAGTCTCCAGGAGGTGGCCTCCAATTAGGGTTGCCATTCCCCTAGTGGCGCCAGGGAAAGCCCTGATTTTGGGGGCTTCAGCCTGCCACTGGCCAGCTGGCTGATGGGGGAAGTCCTACCCCCAAACAGGGACATCACTGAGTGAGATGGAAGTGATATCATCATGGTGGGGACATTGCACCAGAATGCTCGGTACTTGGACAAACTTATGTTTTTGAGGCCAAAAAACCATAGAGTTTGCCCAAATACCAGAGCATCCCAGCGTGACATCTCTGGTGTGATGACATCATCATGTTGGAGACATCACATGATGTCCCGCCCACCTCCAGGATGCCCCCCCAAAGTCCCCTGCTCCAGGCAAGGTAAAACCTGGCAACCCTACCTCCAACTCTGAATTATAAATGAGAGCTTTTAGTACTTTTTTCAGTGCCAGGTAACAGTTGTAAGTAAGGATCATTTCATACAACTATTGTGGTTAAATAGCCATCTGAATAACTGGTCATCAGTATAGTTTGACAGGCTTCCTCCTCCCTTTGTAAAAAGGGTTCAGCAGTGGTGTGGTAAAAGTGATCTGTATTTTTGGATGGCCCCTTCAGCATTGGCAGTGGAAAACCATGGCTGAAATTGACCAAGATGAGCCAGATACCTGTACCTTGATCATGTAACTTTTCCCTTAATCATTGTAACAGAAAATTACATTACATTTTTAAAGTACATGTCGTGATTGTAGTAGAAGGTAAAATAACCATGCCATCAACTCTTGCTACTGGAAAAGAAAAAAACAACAACAACCCAGCAACACAGATTATCTCTGAAATAGTTTTATAGTGCATATTTCCTTTCAAAAACTCTTTAAACAGTCGGAATAAGCAAAGTCTATCATGCATAGAGAAGATGACAAGAACATCCTGCAGGGGGCAGCAGAAGGGACAACTAGTTAGCATAGTGAGATTAGAGACTTCCTGCTATTTTCAAATAGTCTCCTTCCTGTCTCCTGACTGGCTCAGTTAGGTGTCCTTCTTGACCTGCTGAAAACTGTTAGTCCGCTGACTCTTTCCTACCTAGTTAGACAGTTAGACTTCTCTTTCTCTCTCCTCTTTCTTACAAAGTTTGTTCCCTTCTTAATAAACTGACTTTATTCTTTGAACACTTTAGTGCATATCTAAACTCTGCCAACATAAACAAGAGTATATAAAAGAAAGGGGCAGTACATGAAATAGATAAACATCAGTGAGTGCAGTTGTGGTCCCTTCTTCCCCTAATACATGATTGGGAGAGGGTTGTGTGGACTGTGCTACTTCTATGGGATAAGACGGAAGGATTCCATGAGTGAAGGTTCTATATGCCTGCAACTCCCCCCCCCCCACCAGGTATCAACAGGATACAGGGAATTCAGTAACTTTCTAGAAGCTCTCCCTGCCTTTTGCTTTCTGATGTTAACTCTCTGGATGTTAAGGCTGAGCCAGTTTGGTGTAGTGGTTAACTGAGCGGACTCCAATCTGGGAGAACCGGGTTTGTTTCCTGACTCCTCCACTTGCACCTGCTGGAGGACCTTGGGCAAGCCATAGTTCTGGCACAGCTGTTCTCTCAAGGACAGTTCTGTCAAGAGCTCTCTCAGCCCCGTCTGCCTCACAGGGTGTCTGTTGTGGGGAAGGGAAAGGAGTTTGTAAACTGCTCTGAGACTCCCTTGGGTAGTGAACGGTGGGGTATAAATCCAATCTCTTCTTCTTCTTCTTTGTGGACAGGTAGTTCTAATTTTATCCTAGCAGATAGAATCTTGCCGATTCTCTCCTTGTGATAAGAGCTTTTTCAAATATGCTGTTCTAGCTCTGGAAAACAATTCTGTGAAATAATGCCTATTTTAGCCAGGAAGAGGAAATTAGACTGTTCCAAATTTTTTTGACTTGGGAGCCAGTTCTTCAAAACATAGTGTGAGATAAACTAACATAGCACTAACACTGAATAAATTTACTGTCTTATTTGTAGATAGTTGACCCTTTATCTTCCATGACTGAGAAGGATTAGTGGAATGTTCTAAAAGGATCTCACCTTGCCTGGTTTCCCTTTGAAGACCTTTGCCCTCTTTTTTCACCCTCATTTCTGTTCCATTATCTCTCCCCCTTCTTGTGCTGTTCTTTTGTTTTATCATGTGGAAACACCATTTATGTGCTGGGCTGTAATATTTAAGTGTCACTATTTTTTAAAAACAGGAACTTTAAATAAAATATACTTTGGAAGCAAAAAAGAGATGTTTAACATATAATTGTAAAATCAGTCAATATATTTAACTAGAAAAAATTATAAATACATATATCTGCCCTAACTCCATTTTGTATCTGAGTATTCATTTCTTGTGCTGTGACAGACTCTGTTTTTCAAAAGAAATTCCAACTGTGTGGTAACTGAAAAACAGGTTTACTGAAACTATTATTTTTGTTGCCATGAAATAGAATGATCATGTCACATCCTGAGATGATGAAGAAGAAGAAGAGGAGGAGATTGGATTTATACC